CCTCGCCATATGCCTAAAATAAACAAAAAATTAGTGATTTTCAAATTATTTTTTTAAACCTCAATTAAAAATGAATGAGTTGTTATTTAAAAACGTTGTGGATTTTTTTTTCAAATATCACGTTCATCTCCCAGAATAGGGCAGACTACATGTAGTTTGGAGTAAAAAGCGTGTAAAAAAAAAGAGTTTTCGGCCTCATAGTGCGGAACCTGTGAAGCAAAGCTTCTGACTGGTCAGAATCAATTTGAAAACTTTACTCCCTCGTTCGCTTTTCTTTTTAAGTTTATCGCGAACCAAATTAGCCTTCGGGGCCCGTTTTGGGCACATTATTCTGATTACTTTATTTTACGCCAAGGTCCAGAATATTCAACCACTGATATCTAATAATAGCTTCTATTTATTGAACGGACCGAAATCTTTCCAAAGAATGCCGTCATAAATATTTTTACTTTTTAAATCGATTCAAGACTAAAGAACGCAAAACCTAGCAATATATAATCGATCACCGTACAAATAATTCTAGTAATATTTCAGCCGTTTCCTGTCTTTGCCGACAAAATGATTGATTGCCATCAGAATATAAATTAATTTTAAACCGGAAGTAGGTCGATGTCATTCGTGGTGTTCATTTGAAATAGCTTTTCAATTTCTTTGGTATCTTTATACAGGGTGCCTAAAAAGCATAACTCATAAACTTCTTAATTACACTTCCACCAAAATAAAGACCATTTTTTCAACATTTCTGTTAATATATGATTGTACCCAAACGTTTCAGTAATCTTAGACGCTTTTCGCAGTTCTAGTTCACTCTAGCACAGGGGTTCCCAAGCTTTTTTCAGGACGACCCCAAAGATAACTTTCAAGTGTCCAGTGTGGTCAATATATATATTTTTCATGAAACTTTAGAGCTACTTTCACTGGACTTTTGAGTTTGTTCATGTGGTGGTATTAAGTAAAATAAGCTAAAACCAAGCAGTGATGTCACAATAAGCACCTACATTTTCTATAGCATAAGCATAGAGCGATGTTTATGGGCCCGTTTTACAGTAAGCCATGATACAATCTACTAAATTTAACATGATTTGTCAAATCGTAGATGTTTTACACATCAATCCTCTCATCCTCATTTGTACACTACACTACATACAGTGGTTCAGGAATATATTCGCAAACTATGTAGGCCCGCAAGTGCAACCCCGCGCTTTTGTCAAATTTAACATTAACATTAAGTATAATCGTGTATCGGTCGGCGTATCCATTTCGTAAATGCAGAAATCGTAGTTTGTACTTAGTGAAGGCAATAAAGTGTGAAGACGAATTCTATTTCTATCTATTTAATATTCTTACTACGTAGATTGGGTCCCACGCAATTTTGCGTAGTTAAGACAGGCATTTTATTACGCAAGTATGCGTCTCTTTGTCGTTTGCAGAAAGCAAATGATGCAAAACCGCTATCAAATCATCTATTATTGCGTCACTAATACCAATAACCTGTTTATAGTTAGTGCTGATTAATGATATTATTCACGTGACCTCGATGACTAATGAGTCAGCGTTTTGTAGAACGCAGGTGAACATTTGTCATTATGACGTGTTCGGGTTTGCAGAAATGCAATTCAACGTTCTCTGTGACGCAACAAGGTGTATATATTTCTTAATTTTACCGTGGGGAGGGCTGCTTAGATCTAGATTATTTGTACATTTCAGTCAGGCAAAGTTTGAGTCAGGACACCGGGGACATAATGCTTCAGGTCTTATGGCTTTTTAAATCGAAATAGCAATTGAAGCGATAAACTGTGTGTGGTATACGTAGCTAGCCCAAAATTTATTGGGGGAATTTCTTTTGTATGAAGTTTATCCAAGGTATACAAGCGCTCATTTTCATTTATCTCGGTTGATTTATGTGATGAGAGGATTATTGAAAGCAAGTCAGTTTTCAGTAAATCGATCAAGAAAAAAGAGTAAAAGGGTTTTGGAAAAGGCGGTCAAATTTGTATCACTACAAATGCCTCAAAATTTGCATTTGAAAAAAAAGTTGAACATTTTATTTCTTTTTTTTTATACCCCCTCATGGGGGTTGAATCGCGGATCACACAACTCAGGCTTAAATCCCCCCCCCCCCCCCGCGCCGCCTAGCAATCCTAGATATTATTATTTACCAATATATTATAGACTCTCGGACTTGCGAAAACCTAGGATGCCACGGAACCACTGGCTCAGACCATGCATATGCAACATTCAGGTCCAAATTAAGAATTCGCGCTTATGATTTTCCCGCAAATGGACCAATCTATTCCACAAACCTGCTACGCATGCATGCGCATGATTTTTAGTGAATCACGGATTTCCGGTCTTATTTTATGACGTCATACTGATACTTACTTCCTTGTATTATGAAAAGTGAGAGAATAAAAGAAACAAACACGAGGATAAGCAAAACTGCTCTCAATGAGTATTTCTAATACATAGCAATATCATGCATCAGCATTATATAAAGCGAGTGTAATTTGTCATATTTAAACCACGCTCACGTATGGCAGGGCATGTAGATGAATCCAGACAAAAGCAGGTACAACAAACGTTAATTACAGTACAGGGGAAGCAATCAACGCAGGCAGTGCTGATAGACAGGTTGTAAACATTGAATAAAATTAATATAAATTCCACACGTTTAGGATAGCACAGGAATAGAATATTTTTCAGGCTTTAAGAGGGGGTAGCTGTTATAATACTCGTTGCGCCTCGTAGTGGCAAGATTTTGAATGAAGATTAATAATTAGGCAACACGCTCTTAGGAAAGTATAGGAATTGAGCTATTTTTACTGCATACATATGGGGAGGGGGTAATTTATTAAAATGCTCTTTGCGCCACACAGTGACAAGAGTCTGAATGCATGTATGCATATTTAAGTAAAGATTGCGTGCTTTGCCATTTCAGTCTTTTCGAACACTCTTTACGTTTACGTTTTCGGTTAAAAGAGAACTTGAGTGTTGCGGTGACGCTAGGCAAGCGGTTGGTACCGTTGGGGTTGAGTATTCCAGCTAAGAAGATTATATATGTTGGGTCCAAACGCAAGTGATAGCTGTCAAGCTGGAAAAAAAATCTGATTTTGTTTAGTTTAACATGCCATTCCAGGTTTATGGTGGAATCATATTTTTTATATACGAATCACAATAGTTGATTATTGGTTTTCGATCCCTGGATAGTGCCAACACGTCCGAATTACAACACATGAAACACTTCTATGGATTTCAGCACTTTCCTTTCCCGAGGATACGTACGGAAAATTTAGTGACACTGTTAGTGACCACTTATTCTCCCAACATAAAGCCGATGCCGCACACAGCTATAAATAAACTCATTTCCCAACGCTGTTTCGATCGTTTCCGGATATAAATATACTATTCCTCTGACGTTCAGAGTTTCGATACTACGTTTATTAGGTATAACGGAAAACCATGACGTAAAATTAGCTCGGTGACGTCATTTCTACTAGATTTTCGTTGACGTTAATTTCACGTGGGTATGTTAGCATCAGTATTACGCGTGTTACGTTAGTTATCAGTGATTTTCGTTCTGTTTTTGCGCATATTTTTACGTTCACACGTTGGATAATTTGTCACTTCGAGTTTTGTTTTAACCAGGAATGTGTTGTTGTATTTGCGATAAGGCCCGGTATAGCGTTTCCCAGCTGGGGAGACTATTCAGAGTGATTTTAAATCTGTATTCGGTGTAGTGCTAAAAATAGTTCTGGATTATTTATAGTTTTTCTGTGATACACATTTATGCACACATTATAAACAATTCTATTAATATATCACTCACTAATGATCGTTTAAAAATTGAATAACAAATGTACCAAAGTTTTTATACGTAGTGAGGGAGAAATGAGAGTTCCAAAACAGTAATGGTTTGGAACCACTGAATTAATATATTGATGTTTGAGTTAATAGGTCAATTCCGTGAACATTGACCCAGCAGTGATATTATCTTACGTGAGCGCTTTTTATTGTGGAATATCAGGCAGTTAAATTGGGGGTGCACAACTCAAATGAGGATACGTGCCAGAGTTTAAAGAGTAGTCTTGTTGCGCAACTTATAAAGGTCCTTTTATCATATATGTATTGCGGGCTGAGCTCAGTTGATAATCTATTGATTAGTTTACAAATTTGCTCAAAACAAGACTTTAAAACAGTAATTTTTAAACGGTTGGGCGCGCTCAAAAGAGGGTCATAGACAATTTTTCTCGGGGGAGTGTGGAGGAAAAAAACATAAAAAATATTTGTTAGATTCGATTTTGCCCGCCCTATTTTGAATATTTACATTTCTGTATTGTCTTCTGGAGATTGTGTTTCTATCCACATATTTTCAACATGTTTTTGGAATAAAATATACTTTGGTCTTAGTATCTGTTATTTGTAGCTTATTGTTAGCTAGTTATATTTGAGGTGGGCTCGAGACTTGAAAAATCTAAGAAGGGTGCGAACCTCAAAAAGTTTGAGAACCCCTGGTCTAAAACAGTAACTAATTGGGCATATACAGGACATTGGTCATGTATTTACGTGCACACTGATATGAGAGTTAACCGTGTGCTCCAACCAGATTCAGGTTGCTATGTACACGGTCACTACCTGGTCATGGTATTACACATTGGTCATGTATTTACGTGCACACTGATATGAGAGTTAACCGTGTGCTCCAACCAGATTCAGGTTGCTATGTACAAGGTCACTACCTGATGTCATAGGCTATATTGTTGCCATAGTTACAAACAAAGATTTGAAATTTAATGTAAACAATTGGACCTAGCAGTGATGTAATCCTCTAAATAGGCGCTCAACGATTTAAAAGGTGACCTAACTTCAAGCCGTTTTTTTTTTATGAAAATGTTCCCCTTCAACTCCTCACAAATGTGTTCTCGCTTTACTGTGGCCAGTGGCCAGTGTCACATTCGAAGTGGACACATAAAAATAAATTTATTTCGTTTCGTGAAATTTAGATTTTCCTGTGTAGATTAAATGTAACACAACTCAATGGGATTGCTTCTGGAAAATATTTACGTCATTGAATCGTGACGTCATCAAAATGGATATTATCACGCCCACTGTCGTCGACCCAACCGAGGAATGGAGCCCAACATTGAACGGTAGGTTGCATACTTGAATGTCTTGAATATTTTGAAATCAAACAATAATCCGAATCCGGATGGAATTTTTCTTGACTATCAGATATATCGGAGAGTCTTTTTTGTTTCATTTTACGTCTACTAAAATTTTATTTAATAAAAGTACTTCCGTTTTCTGGAGATCCGGGATTCAAAATTTAGGCTTTAACTTTAGTTTTTGCTATACGTAAGTGTATATATAGCAGTGGTTCCCAAACTGCGACCGTCGGGCCAATTACGGCTTTCGTAACAATTTAATTAGCACACCCAATTTGAGTGAAATAGTTTACCCTTTTTGTGTTATTTTCTTTTTGAGTTCTACATACTGTCAATTGTTACTTTATTGTCATAGTTTAAGCACGTGTACATTTGTAACAATACAGTTTGGTATCTTAAAAATCAGGTAACTCAATTATACGTACCGGTATCGGTTCCTCGCGGGTGCTTCCCGCTTTTGGCCCGCCAATATCTTTCAGCTTCTAATTTGGCCCGCGGTCAATCAGCTTTGGAAATCACTAGTATATAGTATAATTATTGAGATAGTTGGCCAAGCCATTCAACCTACGACTCCAACTTAATTAGTTTTAATATTCTGATTCCTAGTCCAGACCTTGCCAAACTGTGTTCAGCGACACAGTAGTGTGTCATAGACAAGACCAAAGTTTACAGCTAAAGTGTTATGCTTAAATATAAATTGAATATATATATAGTATATAGAGGGTGACTCCCCTCAAAACAGAGCCCAGGCCAGCCCAGGCCATTGGCAACATATTCTCGAGAAAACATATAACTTTTGTGCAAAGTATCCTAGGAACCTAGATTACTGAAACTTTTGGGTTCAATCATACAAAAACAAGTTCAATTGTTAAATATATTTTCTTTATTTTTGTAAAAGTGATCAAGAAATCTATGGGATCAATATTTTTTTTTGATACTCCCGTTGTATGTGTACCAGGTTAATCCATAATTTTATTCCGATTTTCCTCACTTTAGTTTTATTACGAGTTCGGGGACTGCCTGTGTTTGCCAAGTGAATATACGCCCTGTCCATAGGTTTCGGTTCCTTTACACAAGTTGATATAAAGAAGGCGAACAAAATTAGTTACCTCCACATTGGTAGACATACTTCTGGAGCACCTTTTTTGGCCAACCCCCATTTAAACTTTCCGCGAAAAAATCATACTCTATGATGCGACGTTTCACAAAAAGGTTTAAAAACCATTGACTCATCACGCGCGGAAAAGCCATTTGATTCACAAAATTTTATACAGCGTTCAAGCAATCATTATGTAACTCGGGTAACTCGAGTCTTTCCAAGAAATTCATAGGCATTCACGGTGTTCTATTTCCATCTAAGCTGTCAATAATTAAATATCACAAGATGGGGGATTTCCGCTCGACATTTCCTTCCAATCTTAGTTTTCGATCCAAAATGTCAAAATTTGTGGTTGGCTTATAGATAAATTGTTAGATAAGTCTACCACAAGAGGTGGTAGGAATCTACTTATATTCCTTATGATCTATCCGGGCTTTTAGTAATCCGGAAATGCTATCGACGTGTGGTTACAGACCTGTGGCGTTGTGTCTCGCAACCTTCAAACTTTCACTCGGCTCCTAGAATAAGTTCATATTATATGAAACTCGAAAAGTGGGAGAAGTCAATTTTTTATATTTTTCACTCTAACCGGTTTCGGATTTTATCCATCGTTGTGTTGTAGACCAGTAACGTAATAATTGTACTACATGGCAAACATAATAAATGAATGGAGTCGGTTTTTAGGAATTCGACACAGTTTTAGGAAACCGGATATTTTCCAAAATGCTCATGCTGTTATGTCTCGCAAACTTCGAACTTTTTTTTCTGCGAATAGATCAGACTCATAATGCGCCGTAACACGAAAAGGTTTGAAAACCATGCGGAAAAATCATTTAATTTACAAAATTTTATACAGTGTTCAATCAATCTTTTTGCAACTCGAATCTTTCCAAGAAATTTACAGGCATTCACGGTGTTCTATTTTCATCATCACTGTCAATAATTAACTATCACAAGATAGGGAATTTCCGCCCGACTTTCCTTGGCAATCTTAGTTTCGATCCAAAATGTCAAATTTTTCTTACAGATTATAAAAAATAAGTTCATATCATATGATTTGCGAGAGGTGACCGGAGTCGAATTTTTATTTTTTTTACCCGACCTGGATTTTAAATTTCGGTATTTTCCCACATTTTATTGCAAATTTGTCATGTAAAGTTTTCATTGTATTTTATATTAATCACAAATGATGGCCGGAGTGAATGTTTTTTTCATAATTTCGGCCAGATCCGGTTTATAAGAAGTCGGAATTTTACTAATGTTTGGTTTTAGTCCGTGATATTATGTTTCGTAAACTTCAACCTTTTTTCTGAGGATAGATCGGGGAGGTGGACGGAGACTATTCTTATAATTTAGAGCAGATCCGGTTCTAGGGATCCGGATATTTGATTATACATTCCACGTTTGGTTGTAGACTATAGTTGGTGGTCTTTTGTCTCAAGAACTTTAAACATTTTCTCGACATTCCAGGCTCATGAAATGAGCTTCTTCTATTTCTGACATGGGCAAACTACGGCCCGCGGGCCAAATCCGTCCGTTGGGTAATTCAATCTGGCCGCCTGATGCTGCCACAACCAAACAAAAACCAAATTTTGATGTTTTATCACTGTGAAAATGCAACCTTTTACATCACACTCGCATGGCCCTAGGTGGGCAAAAATTCTTTGGTCCTTGGTTCAAAAACCTTGCCCACCTCGGTTCTATATCAATTACAAAATGTTGCCGGAGTTGATATATTTATAATTTCGTCCATGTCCGGTTTTAGTAATTCGAATATTTGCCGATGTCTGGTTTTAGAGCAGTGGTGTTAGTCTCGGAAAACTCGAACTTTTTCTTGGTAGATAGATCAGACCCATGAAATGAGTTCATTTTAAATCAATCTCAGAGTGTGACTAGACTTTAATTTTTAATATTCTCACTATATCCGGTTACAGTAATTTGATATTTTGTCCGCGTATTATATTATACCAGTAATGCAATAATTGATAGTATTCCGTGGAAATCATATTAAGTTCCAGAGTCGATTTTATAACTCCGGATCCGGAATATTTAACAATGTTTGGTTTTTGACTGGTACTGTTATATTTCGGAAATGGAAATTTCTCTCCGTTGACAGATCGGGCCCGTGAATGGAGTTCATTTTATTTCAAGAATGTGAACGAACGTTATCGGGAATTCGTATGTTTTAACGTCTGCGTGTAACGTAGATTGGTCCTGATTCATTAAATAAAACCCAGAAAGAGTATCAATAGAAGCGACTGAAACACTCTGTATAGAGATGGTACGAGAGCAGGGCAACATTAATTAACAACAATAACTGCCACCCTACTTTCACCCACCCTTTATAGCATTGGTTCCCAAGACTGATTGACCAGGGCCAAAATTAGAAGCGAACGGACATTTGAGGGCCGGGAGAAGGATGCGCCCGTAAGAGAGCTACCCGTATGTAATCCTAATACGGTACCGATACGTATAATTAGCATACCGGTATAATTGAGTTGTTATGAATATACACGTGCTTAGACTGTGATAATGACGTACCGTACGGTAAAAATCTGCGGCATGTAGAACGCAAATGAAACTATCGACGGGCCATATTACATCGTCCAGCGGACCGTAATAGTCCTGCGGGACGCGGTTTGGGAACCACTGCTTTATAAGTTTATTGTTATGACAAAAAGGCCATTGAACCACGTAACTTATATTAATTCAATTCATCGCTGTAGAAAAAAAATCATAATTATCACTGATGTTAGTTAATTTTACTCACTTTTTTAACAGTATAATAGTGCAATCCATATTTTCCAGAAAAAGTAAAATTATTGTTAATCTTGAAACAAACCTTCAGTTTTACGTCATATGACCCGAAATAAGATTGAAATTTCTCCAAATTTGGTAAAGTCGGGAAAATCATGCATGAGTGTTGGGATTAGAATTAAGTTCGCGGAAATGTAGTAGTAGTTCAGGAATAGATTGAATCGATAGTTTGTCAAAATGACGTTGGTTTTGACGGATACTATGTTTGTGCACCTGTGGTTATTACAGGAGGTAGATAGATACAGAGGAAATGTTCTTATTTCGAAGGTTTTAATCAAAATCACGAAAGTTAGAAAAAGTTTGTAGAAAAGAAGTAAAATGTATACTTTTGTTTTCTTGATCGGACTTGAATTTCTTCACTATTAATATTCTAAAAATTTCTGATTGCAAGCAGACCCGGTACGGCTGGCGCCCGGAGTTTTGAGGTAAAAAGTGTTTCAACCTACGAAAAATGGTTATGTATGAAGAAAGAAAATTGCATTTTACATTTCAAAAGGTGGGGGCGCCCGCATTACAACACCCGTGGGGCATGTTAGTAATTTTACTGAAGATGATCCTTCTTTACTTCTGAAATATATCGTATTCGAGATTTGAATCATATGAGTATCATTATTCTGCTTCGACCTAAACTCAGATAATGATAACAAAAATGTGTTTTAGATAAAATTTCTTATTTCTCAAATGAAATTTTGTTAATTTCACCGAGTCTAAATTTTGGTTCAGAATAATTTGAGAAAATGTGCTTCAGGTATATGTTTTGGAGTATGGTTAGGTACTTGTCTACTATCCAATATACACCAAAACCAGCAAGTCTTGTGATATGAAATACAATGTACACTGGCGATCTGGTTGAAGCTAATGTTTACGTCAATTCGATAGCAACTGTTTAGCTGAAGTTAACAAAAATGCAAGAACTCGAAACTTCAAGTGTCTCACTGAAATGTTTGATAAATAAAAGCTTGCATTGTGAGAATTTTTCAAGTCGTTGTGTACGTGGAAAGAATAAGCTTTTTGTGTGGCCCGGGTAGGTGTAGACTGTAAAGTAAGTAGGTCTACTCTAGAGTACATAGAAACATAGATTTACAAGTACAGTATATTTTATCTATCAATAGGCTTTAAAAAGATATTTTAAGTTTAACTCGAAGTATTTGTAAAAGTGTATTAAAGCAATGTTATTCCACCCATCGTCTCTTGAAACGATGCAAAGTAGTTTGTGGCATCGCAGGATGAGGGGGAAGCAACCCGTGACAGGTAATTCGGTCTTGTTTCATATATTCATTATATTGACAGTGCTGCGAAGTAATTTTGGTCAAAGTATGTTGGGGAATCCCCCACACCGAGCTGTTTCCCTGACAATATATACTATTAGACATTCAAGTTCCACGTCAACTGGTATCTTTAAACTCGTTATGGCGTTGTATTCCGAATTTGGCTGCGTTGTTATTCAAATCCCTTTTCGGAATAAAATTTGTTCCCCTGGTATGACCTCAGTAAATCAACTTTATAAGCTTTCATTATTTTGAGTAAAATTGGTCACCCATGAAAAAGTTGCATTGTATAAAAATATTATATAGTGGCAAACTAACCCTAGTTCCGAATTAGGCTCATAGAATAAGTCGGGCTTTATCAGCCCTATCAAGTATTTTAATTTTTCTTCCGAACTCAAAATCCATTGTCCGTAAAATGAACCCCAATCTGAATAGTATATGCAAATTTCAACAGATTAATTACACCGAGAACTGCCAACGTTATCATGAACAACATTGCGTGTAAAAATAACCGCGTGGGCTACCTGATCATAAAAATATGAGATTTTATGTTCGCCCAAGCATTGTCCTAGCTTTAATCGAGTAATATTTTGCGTGGTTTTACTCTGGGCCATGTATAAGCGACGCTGCGAACTTTTCTTCTGCGAAGATTGCCAAACAGGCGCCATCTGCGCCAATATCATTAACCCTCTGACGTAAATCGTGCTTCAATATATTGTAATTTAATATATTTTCATTGCAATGTTGGAAAAGAGCTATAAATTACCATGCGGAAGTCATTTGTCTATTACTATGACAGAACAATGCGTGACTTTGCATCATAAAGCGGAAAGACATTGATTATTATGACTCATAAATCACTAGACAAATAAGTTTTCTACACTAGTGTTCAAAGTATACCATCGGCAATATGAACTCATAATCCGATTCTTGACGTGAAAAATAAGTTCATAAATTGAAAGCCACGTCTTACGAGATGTCGGCGCTGAAGGAAATTGTTGAGATTAAATTTAGTTTTGGTACAAGCCTCATTGTTTTCCATTTTTGCTTCAACACTTTAAATATTGTTCATAAAATGTAACTTTTCATTCACACTTACATGGCCCGCCAGTCTAGGTTGTCGAAAATTTTTGGCCCTTGGTTCAAAAACATTGCCCACCGCTCATTCAGTGTCATCATTAATTAGTAGCGTTGTGTCTGTATATGTTGATGGAATAAAGGTATCAGGTATAAGCACCATCGCTTAGCCATAAGGCAACGTTTCCCTACCGGGGAGTAATTTTGTCGTTTTGGGTGGAAATTTTTGCTTCGTATTTGCTGTCGTATTACTATTATTTGGTTTTTATTAAAACTATGATACCTATTCAAAAACACATATATATCAAACTACCCATACTATACGAAAGCCAGAGTGCAACTTGCGCATAACACTATGATCGATTTATCAAAGATTGAACAAATCAAGTTGTTTTATGTATAGGGAGGCAGGAATAGAGAGTTCAAAAATACGCAAAAAAGGAATTAAAAAAAAATTGGGGAACACTGACTTAGGGCGTGATGAATAGGGTAGACCAGTGGTTTTTAAAGTTGATTGACCGGTTACCAAAATTAGAAGCGGAATGATATTCGCGGGCCGGGAGAGGGGGCACAAGGGACCTACACCGACGTATATTTAAGATATAATCTATTGAATTGATACGAATATACTTTGCTTAAACTGTGATAATGACGTAACAATTGGCGGCATCTAGGACGCAAAAAGGTAAAACCTAAAGTGTTAAACTATTTCAGTCAAGTTCTGCCGGCCATATTAAATAGTTACACGATCTTTAAAAGACTACCTACTATGCATTATAAACTGTGGCCACATGAAATTGATAATTTTTTATTTATTTCACCAGATTCAGCAAATTCGGAGCTGCCACAAGAGTGTCTCAGAGAGTTGCTGGGCGGGAACCGACAAATCCAACTGTGGCATTTCATCCTTGAATTGTTACGAAACGATAAGTATTATGACATCATAAGTTGGGAAGGAGAACACGGAGAGTTTGTCATCAAGGTGAATATAATTCTTACAACTTCGTAGTTGAAACCAAGAATCTTAGAATATTTTCAACATAAACCTAATTGTAATTGCGGAACAGTGAACATATGGATCGATTTGCTAAATTCTTGTTGTAGGTGGTTTTCGTTTTCATTTGAAAAAATTGCCTTTCTGCGCAGCTGACGAATATATGATCTTGTACAAAGTCCGCCAAAGTAAAACAAATAGTAATTATTGATTTCGGCTAAAGGTTAGGGATGCAGATTGTGTGGGAATCAGATATTTAAATCATTCCCAACCCAAACTGGATAATTACCATTTTTTATTTAAAAACGTAACGGGCTGTTTTCCTGAAATCCCACATTTCTGGGGATTGGATTTCTGGGCGGAAGAATATATTCAAATTTGCGGTGCCTGAAGCTGCAAGAAGCATACTAGGCCTACTTTAGCTTTTAGTCTGAGAGACCCGGCACTTCACATGGGAGTATACTGCTTCATTTTACGTTTTTTTTTTATATCTCATCTCTCTCTGCTTGTCCAGCTCAATCTTTCTGTAAATATTGCACCTGAAATGTAAATTTTCATGTCACACTTACATGGCCCGCCAGTCGTAGTTGGCAAAATTATTGGCCCCTGGACTAAAAACCTTGCCTACCCCTGCGTTAGACACCCAACTCTCTGAGAAAAAACATTTTAATAAAAATATATCTTTTTCAGGAACCGTCAGAGGTCGCCAGACTATGGGGAATACGAAAGCGAAAACCAGCGATGAATTACGAAAAACTGAGTCGGGCGTTACGGTAAGTGATATTTCAGAGGTTCACAACAGAGGGCCCGTTGCTTTCAGACGGTGTTCACAGTGCAGTTTGAGAGGGGCCCCAATGCTTAGCGCAAAACTGATTTTACTTTCTACAAAAAAGCTCCAAGTTCTTCTTAGTTCCCTTGCTTTACAAAGTTATTTCACAGGGTGTTCTCACATTAATGAGCATGAATTATTCAAACCTCCTGGGATTCGGAATCTACAAATAGAAATAACACTATACTATAAATACTACTGTAATGCCAGGCACGGGCAACAATAGATTGGAAACCACTGTAGTATTTCTTGGGTTTGTAGTCCCTCCCGACTTCGGGTAATCAAGAAAACGTATGGGGCCCGACTTTCGAGCTGTTAATGAAATATTAGATCCAATCCAACCCGCGAATCGGCTTTGAAAAAATTCGAATTAGTCCCAGGCTTTCTTGCGAATTTTCCCACAAAATCTTTGATTTTGCTATTTTGATATGGTTTTGTACAATCCTCGTTTGGCATTGTCCCCCCAATTCATTAGATCTTTGAGGTTATGGGAATCTCGGCTGAACCCCACATTGGTAATTTAATTTAATCAAATTGATTAAAACCGGTATTCTACATCACGTTGGTATACTGTTAAAGTCCTACCCCGCCTGATAAATCTAGCTCAACTCTAATACCATCAAGTGATTTCCCTGCACCCCCTTAAAATTACACCCTCCCCTATTTTTGACGTGTTTAAGATTAATTCTATTTAAGTTTAATCGTATTTAAATATCCAGAAATCGGCATATTTATCGGTGCATGATGGTCTGGAGAATATGTAACACATTTTGATGAGTTACAAATGCTTTTATTGCTAATAGCAAAATATTTACCATCTCCTAAATCTCGAAACATCTCCCTCCTAAAATGAAAAACTTAGGAACATACTGTCAAGAAAGGTGACAATTGGCAAAAAATGCTAATATATCCATCATTATTCACTCGTTTTCTTGTATTCCACTCAGTTACTACTACGACAAACGTATTCTGTATAAATCCAAAGGGAAGAGATATACTTACCAATTCAACATTGCAGTATTGGAATTGCTGATCAGGAATAAACAAGAATCGGCTTTAGAGGCAGAAAAAGGTGAGCTGAATTAGAACAACAAGCCAGACTTTCAATACACATGATGGCCAGTGGTGTTATTGAGGGGGTTCGCACACGTTCTTCGATAGCCGTGATATCAGCGAACCCGTTCTTTAAAGGGCGTGAGATTAGCGAACCCCTTCCAGTTTTGTTGATTTTCTAAAATGGGGGAACCTGTTCTTAGCGAGTTCGATACAAAAGATAATTTGTTTGTGAATAAACTTTCAAATTCTACCACTCATGATGGCCCAAAAGAGAAGGCTCAGCGAAAGAATTGCTGGGCTCCTCGTCCCCGCATCACTTGACAGCTGGCCGGTTCGCCATATGATTAAGCGGTCTTATAGGCTTTCCCATCCCCCGGCATAAATAATAATTCCCATCCTATTAAGTTAACATTTACGACGCCTTCATACAACTTTTAATTCCACCCAGACTTTGTACATCAAGCCAATGTTGGGTAAGGAGCTACTTTACTTAGAAAAAACCAGAATCTTTCAGGTCCGGCCTTGGGTGATGTAGGACGTAGGTGATCGTAGGATTCAAACCCAATTTTGCAACGATTTTTGGCGAGATTTTGTTTTCCAGGCCTTTTACCAGCATATGCCTTTAACTAAATTTTTTATTATTTCAAGAAAAATCACTTGATAACGATGATGACGTCGTAATAACATCACCAGATGAACATCTCCGTAAGCCTGAAGATTCCCCCATCCGAACATCCCACATACGTCACACAAGTGACGTGATATTGAGTCCTGTGCATCGAAACGACGAAATTTTACGTCGCTCATGGCAACGAAACAAACAAACAGCGAACATTTGTCAGCGTCCACAACGTCACAAAGAGAATTGTTTGAATCTGTATTATGGCAGAACAATTCCTTCTTTACTACATTACAATGACTTTGATCCCATAAGATCACGTGATTTATCTTTGAATAACATGATTGGTGGAGAAAGACTCCCCAAATCTCCAAAGGGGACATGCGCGCCACTCATTAACAACCACACACCACGCGGCACAGAGCGTGAAAACAACTGTCATTAAACGACCCGATTTCAACTAGACCCCCTAGAGTTAAAATCGAACCTCGGCACTCAATCTACTCCCCACGTCTGGAACGCCCAGTAATCTATAGCACCACTCAGGGGCCGATGATCGAATTGTCTCGAACTAAAATCCCGCGAAATGTTTTCGACCCCCCAAAGAACTCATTATTACATCATCATCTATCTCCATTCCAAGAAGTACGCCCAGTGACGTCACGAGATCAATATGAACACAAAAAGACAGCTTTTCATGGTAGGTTTTGTTCCTAATGCTTTTGCGCTTGTCCTACACACGCCTGAATATATTTAGAAGTGGTTGTGCTGCATTTCGTTTATAAAAAAATTGAGCCTTGGTAGCCACTTGGTCTTCGCTTAGATTTTACTGAATAAAGTATATGTGACAAAAATTAGTCGATTTAGAGAATAGTTGAAAAGTTCATTTAACAACGTGGACACAATTTACAAAACGTTTTGTGGGGTCATTGCCAACTAAATAAAAGAAATATCGTAACCTAAGCCAGGGGTTCTGAAAATTTGGTGTTATGGAGTCGGTCAAAAGGTTGACTATTATTCACGGATCCCCATCATAAATTTTTAAAAATAAAAACAATATATTAACGCTGTAACAAAGTAGTGTCGAAATGCGACAACAAAGCGGTAATTGAAATATGGCATTAGCCATTAGCAATAGTGATAATGTCATGTATTTTCGAATTGCCACATTTCGACGCTGCCGTTGTCAAATTTTATGCCGTTACTGATTCTTTGAACAGTTACAAAACAGTTACAAAATTAGCTAAGTCGGCATTTTGATAGTTATGGGGATTCGTACTGTGCAATTTGAGAACCTATGCAATCTAACCTATATGACCTAAGCAATCTTCTTTATTCCGCTTCCCCGAACGCGAACTTTTGGTACGCTCGTATGTGTATGTGGGTCACACGGGGTTTGACCCCGAAATTTTAGATTTTGAACAAGAATGGTTGGCCCAACTCTTTCACCTTTAGATCATAGGTTCTCAAAATGCTCCAGTACTCTCGGAGAGAAACCTCCGCGAGATATTCCGTTAGTTACTAAAATACTCACTTGGCTAATTTTCTAACTGTCCAAAGGAGCAATATACCGGCATTGGTGAAATTTGACAACGGTAGTGTAGAAATGTGGCAACAAGACGGTAATTCAAACATGACATGATCTCCAATAGATATTTTTTATAAATTTATTGTGGGGCTTTTTAAATAGTAAACCTCTTCAGGGGTTCTATAACACCAAAAGTTTGAGAGCTCTTGCTTTAGATCACCGTGGTTTTTAGCAGCTGCGAGTAACTCCACACAACTTACGTAACCTTCTTTACCTCAGGTTCGCTTCCTGGAACGCCAACTCATTCATTTCGTCGACAAGCTCCATCACCTGATCACATGTTCTCGTTCAAAACAGAGGAAATCAAGGTATTTTGTTGGAAATTTTCACATATTCGCTCCGAATGAGGCTCTACGCGCAACCTTCTTTCCACGCGCACTCTCTCAAAGTGAATGCGAGTCATCTTTCAGCAAAATCACCACCAACCAATGGAGTGCTATTGTAGCTATATAGTCTCATGACAGTGCATTGCGTGTTAGTGAGCTTTTAAACAGTCAGCTCAAGTTCATAACTACAGCAAGGTTTGTTAAAAACGAAACTTTATCCCTTTTTCTGTATTTTTTATAACACGTTTGCATGTTTACAGGCCTACAACAACGAACGGCAATCGCCTTCTCAAGTCAATGGCTACATACGGCATCCTTTAACAGGTAGGTCGAGTTTACAACACTTTTCGATGCATTTCAATCTGAACAAGATCCCGTACTAGCAATACTATTTGATGTTTCCCCGAGCTTATTCATTTCCGTAATAATATCCGATTAGCAGTAAGCGAACAGTGACGTAACCAAACCCCTTTCTGCAGAACCCCGTGAAATTTAGAGATTTATATTTGTGTTAGTGTGCAGCAAGACACACATACTATGGGAGCATTCCCTCAGCACTTTTCAATACCTATTAAATTGATTGCTCTGTATCGGTTTGCGTGCTTGAATTCCATGGTGGAAAAATAAATGCTAGGAAGATTGCTGGACTCCTCCTCGTCGTGGGCCGGTTCTCGTAACTGTGGTCAGTGACAGTTTCCTCACCATCAAGTCCATGCATCTAGAAACGAAATAACTTGCTAACTAATCCCATACCCGACATGGACTGGTAACCGGACGGTCGGCAATTCTTCGCGAAATGCTTATTAAGCTGTCTTTCACATACCCGAATTGGTTTGGATACCGATGATTGAGCCGTTTTATCGGTTTTCCTCCTCGGGATAAACATGAAAATCTTACCTATACAGTTATTATTCTAGCTCAACCCAGGAATAGAAGTCTTGGACTTCAGGGATCGCCAACCCCATACAATGAAGAAACGAACAGACGCCGAAGCGTTGCATCATCCCATTCTTATTACGAGATCCCCCGATCTGTCCGGGATTCAAACCCACATCTCACACCAACTCATACGAAGATGGTGGAGCTCCGTAAACCATCGGCCGAGGAACTGGCGTTTGAAATAGCGAAAGAAAAAAAATGTGAGTCGATTCGTTTCAATGTTTTTCTAAGCTGAGGTTTTTATACGATGTATTTATACGACTTTCGCTTTGAACAAGACTAGGAACAAAGAGCCACTGTTGTAGGATAGGATAGGGGGAGAGAGAAGCCGATAAGGCGGCTCAATCACATGGCGAACCACGGCCTCTCGTCTGGTCACCAGTTCATGTCGGGTATAAGATTAGTTAGCCAGATATTGGTTTTTCAGATGCATGGACTTGATGGCGGAGAAACTCCTGAACCACCGTACGGTGGCGAGGAATCCAGCAATCATCTTGCACATAACTATCCGCATATACGATTCGAACCTGCGAACCAACGCGGGGTGATAAGAGGTGCCGTGGCACGCGGATTCTGAGCGCGGAGATGCGCCAATGTAAGTAGCGCCAATTTATTACACCCTGAGTGTGAAGTGGTGGGAATAAGCTTGGAACTCAAGATTTTAACCTGCAATGACATGATAGCTAAGTCTAACGCTATAACTAGTCAGGCCAGGGGTGTGCAACCGTTAATACAGGAGGACATGATACAAATAACTGAGTGGAACCTAGTGGGTAAAAGTTTTGGTTGTTGATCTTATGACATGCGTTGTTTGCTTCGCACAAGCTAGCCGTTGATACATTGTAATGCCATAGGCATAAATATTAAATTGGCTTGGCAACGCGAAGGGATTAGAATTACTCGCACCTACCCGGTTAATAAACTAAATCAAATTTCGTTTCGCGTGCCGCTTACCATTCAAAATTGGCACTTCTCCGCGAGCCGCACAATTTTTCTGTGTGGGCCGCATTTGGCTTGCGGCCGCAGATTGCACACCCCTGACTTTGGCCGCGACACTCACGTTGCCCCTCAAACAAGCCCCAGCAAGCACGCATTACACTTCTGTTTTGGGGGGACCAAACTTTTGTCGGTTCGATAGCGCTTACAAAAATTATTTTTAAAAGTTATACGTTGTGAATCACTTTCGATGAGCTGTTTCCCTCTCATATCAACCAGTATGCTCTGACATATCATTAGAGAACAAAATCCTCCACACGTGTTCCTTGCATATATCACTTGCCACCTGTATGTGTTCCATTTGCTTTGGACAGACTGGCGATCTTGATTTTAAACCCCCACACGAAATATTCATTATACACTGTAAGGGGTTTACCATAAAAACCTTGCATTTTGACTTAAAATGAATGATAAATAATGATATTCTAACATGATATTCTAGCTTGTTTACAACTCACGAAATACTTCCGTTAACTATAATTAGATTTCCCGGAAATTGTTGTCAACAGATTGGCACTCAAACAACTTCCGGTGTCTATTTACCAACTTTTTTGATCTTTCGCCATGATTTTTTGGCGTAGGCAGAACGGCGTTGCAGTCAAAATATTAGCAAGCAGTGTAATATGGTGCTTGTTGCATATTGAAACAGTAGATCCCAATATTTTTCGATAAATTCCTCCCTTCACCAATTTTTGATCTTTAAATACTAAACGATATTTAGTGACGGTTCGTCTGACCAAAATCAGACTTCCTCAGACAAGCACTTTACAACCATTGATATCAAAGTTGTTAGTCATTTCATTTGTATACCTCGAGTCGCTGAAAGAAATTAACTCGGAGTCGCTGATAAAAATTGTCTCAAGTAGTTGATAAAATTGACTCGAGTCGTTGATAAAATTGAATCGAGTCGCTGATAAAATTGACTCGAGTCGCTGGTAAAATTGACTCGAGTCGATGATAAAATTGAATCGAGTTCAACTTAAGACGAGTCAAGAACTGAAGCATCCCTAACACTAGGATGCAGTATAGATTTTATCAAAACACTTAGAAATAACCTTGCTAATCAATTTTGCTTGATTTTCGAACTAAATTATTTGTTTTTTTAACAGCTCATCACATTAAGCCAGGCTACATCGACTTGCGAGCCCATTCCAAACGAATCCGTGATCTTTTCTCATCAAGACGAAGGGCTACGTCGGATTCAGAAAATATTCGGATACATAAAAAGCCTCCAATCACTCCCGAACGTAAATCATTTATTTTTACACGAGTGTTTCCCACGCATATTGCTCTGCTCAAACAACAACTGATTGATTTATGCTTTTTATTGGGGTTGTTGGAATTATCGGGGTTCAGCTACCATAATAAGGTCTTTTTATTAAGGTTTTCAAACCTTTTTTTAACCAAGGCTTTGAATCCGCGGTTTTTGAATGGCTATACTGCCTCATGTGAATCATTTTCGTCAAGTAAATTACGGAAAAACTTTTCACGTGTTGAGTCAGCCTCACACAGCCTCTCACTTTGTAATTGTAACTTTGGAACCGTCCAACAACAAAGACCACAGCATGAAAAACGAAATCTTTCCGCGCAAAAAGGCCATTTTATTTTCCGACTTTGTGACATTTTATGAATTCTTATCCCAGGTTCATCGTTAGAAAGAGTTCAGGAAACACAAAGACAAGCCCAGCAGATGGAACCCCTTGATTTGAGCAGCAAAGGAAAGAAAACTGGTATGTATGAGGCGAGGTGGCTGTTAATTTATTTTTATATGTATAAAATGTCGAGTTAATATTAATAGAACCATTGATATTAAAATATTGTACAGAAGAGCCCGAACTTGTAAAATTGCCAATTTTTGCCAATTCGAGCTGCTTAAATTAAGCCGTTTACCAGTGATTCCAAACCTTTTATGGCTCGTGGATGCTTTCAGCAGTCATGGCGCTCTGTTTATTGTTCCAGTGACATTTATAGTGTTAATATGATTAGTAGATTCCGAATCCCAATATGTTCAAAGAATTCATGCTCAATAAGGTGGAAACACCCTGTGAATAACCTCGTCACGCAATGAAAATAAGAAGGACGGGGAACTAGGAAGAAAATCAGTTCTGCGCCTAGCATTGTAGTCCCCCATCAACTTCTCTGTGGCCCTTTTGGTAGTTCGCGGCTCCAGATTGGGAACCACGAATGTAGATAGAAGAATACAGCTCTATATCGTATATTGTTTATATTTTACAGGCCCCAACATCACTCCGTCTATGCTAGAAGTTCCGATTCCATCCCGCGCCCAGCATCTCTCACCTACTCATCTCATCGCCTCTTCACTCTCCGCGACTCATCTCAGTCCTCGATATTCCACTGGGTGTATTCCTGCTTGGGGAATCCCCCCACCTAGTCCACGGAAGCGCCAAAGAGCTGATTTGGGTTCTGAGGAGGAAACTGATGACGTATTGACTGTGTCTTGCGGGGACGAATATGACGTCAGTCAGACATGGTCTTCAAGTCCAAATTCTTTCGATATGGCGCATAATGTGACGTCACCAGAACGTATGTTATCAGGTCGGTCATTTCCAAAGCTTGGTCGTTTTAAAAATGGCACCGCATCGCCTACATTATCCCCAGCTTTCCGCGGTTACATCGTCAATGACGTAAAATCCAGCGAACGTAGTTATTCCAGCTCTTCGGTACCTTCCAGCCCAAGTCATGTAATGCCAGCAAAATGGAGAATCAAACGAATGCAGAAACTTCACGCATCAATGGAATCTGTTGATTTGCTGTCACGAGATCCTATGACGTCACAGGATGATTACATCATTTCATGTTCAAATGAACTCCCAACCCAATCATCGACAGAGAGCGACCATGTCCCAATGGAAACACAAAAAGTTGAGTTGATCTCAACCCCAACAGGAGAAGAATCTGATGATTCTGACGTCACTATTGACGTCACAGGTGTTAGTCCTCAGATGGAGAGTGCTGAGACTATGCAAACAAATGTCATTGCAACCCATACAGATGATTATAACAATAATAAAGTAAAAAACTCAAACTTAAAAAAATCATCTAGTATGTCGTCATTAGAAATGACATCACAGACTGCCGCTGACGTCATCAACAATCCGAAATCACCAAATCGCGTCAAACTTTTGGAAATTTTGAACAGAAAACGTTTTAGTTTTTTAATTGCTTCTTCCTATCACAACTGTGACGTCATGGAAAAATCTATTGTTGGGGGGCACCTTTCAAATTCCAAGCATGCCTTATCCGCGCCACCTAGTGCCTGCGCATCCCCTGTAAATTAAATTTCAGCCGGACTGATTTTTTCTTCTTTTATATTTACTCATTCTACGTTTATAAAAAAGTATACTTTCATCGCAGATTCTACGTTTATAAAAAAAGTATACTTTTATCGCAGATTCGAATATTTTAGATTCGAATTCCCGCTTTAGGGGAACACAATACACTGAATCTAAATTTCGATTCACTCAAATAAGATGAATCAGATCTAGTTTGAATTCACTTTACATTTCCGCAGGTCGGCCATTTACTAGTTTTATTTTCTTTAGTGTTATCGTTTTTGTAAATATCAATTGTGTGAGGTTTGGCGTTATACCGTTTTTTAACTGAGAAATTACCCTTCAGCTGGAAAGAATTGCACGAGGCAGGTACGATATCTTATCCAGAGGGAGCCATAGGAGCAGCCACCACGTTATGATTAATAATTGCTAAGTCAGACCGTAATAGTCAGCGAGGCCTAAACGTTTCGAGCTACGAAAAATGGGAGGGGGGGGGGGGGTAAGACTTCCTTCTCTCTCTTTCCTGGATACACCCTTGACTGAGTCCAGATCAATTCAATCTTACGCAACACTTTACACGTTTATGTATATAATTGTTTTATTTGTTGTTTTTGTAGTATTCACTTTTACATTCCGCAGGTCGGTCTCCTTCTTTTGCATTTCTATAACCTTATTTTTTGTAATGTTTTTCTAATCATGAATGAGATAAATTGTGAGCAGAGCTCACTTTTATATCTCCTATAAAACATAGTTGTCGGATGAAGATGTGGATCAAGGCCGATAAAATTCGGTCAGAAAATCCATGCACTTATTACAATACAGTATTTGTATCTGAAACCCACTATCAATTGACTAATATATCCTGTCTTCAATTATAAATCAATGCAGGTTAGGTGTGATCAGAATCGTGTTTTAAAATTAGAGAACCGGAACCGGATCAAACTTTTTCGATTCCACAAACCCATCAGGGATCATTGTAGTATAATCTAGATATGAAATGATAGATGCACTTTGCAGCCAATCCAAGTTCACCCGCTGGTCGGTTCAATGTTATTTGCACTTCGTACAAAACACTTTTTGTTTTTTAAAAACAAGGTGAACATTATGAGTTATATCCACCGTTAGGGCGGTTACGCTATTTACCAGGTTGATTTATATAAAAATCTGTTTGTAATATACATTTCAGTAATGTTTCAAATATTGGCGCTCCAGGAGTGTGTGTACCAATATGAAGGTAACTAATTTTGTTCGTCTACAACTTTACATCAAGTTGTGTAAAGGGTCAGAAACCTTTGGGCAAGGGGTATATTCACTTGGCTAGCACAGACAGTTCCCGTAATAGAACTAAAATAGGGGAAATCGAAATAAAACTATAGCCTGACCCTAACCTGGTACACACACTACGAGAGTTGGCGAGTATTTTTCAAAACAGGCGCATAGACCTATTCGTATTGAGTAATATATGGGTTATATCATTATTTAGAATGTTCCTACATAAAGAAATATATACAATGCTATTTATTGTCATGGTAACTTGTGTTTGTATATACATTTAAAACGTCAGCTTTATATGGTTTGATTGACAGAGGCTGTGCCTTCACTTACCAAGAGCAATCAATACCAACACATAGCTAATCTCCCCCCGCAACGAAATTGACGCACCTTCTGTTTATTAGATTCGGCTATTTTGATTTGTTCTAAATTCGAAATTTTTAACAAATTCAATCAATTTTCACACCATCTGTATTTGTTTTAGTGTTTTTAAATTTTGCACCGAATTCTGTAAGACCATAAGTGTTGACAGGACAGACTGCATATTGAATTTTTGCTCCTATCAGTAAGATTGCAGCATTTCTATCTATTTTGTTCGACAATATTAATTGTGCTGAAATCTAAATTTTTTGATCAACTGGTAGCCAATCTTCACGCTATCGTTATTAACAATTTTACTAAGTTTGCACCTAATTCTGTAAGTCCATTGACTACCTACAGGACAGACTGCATGTTGGATGTTTCCTCTCGTCAGTGAAAATGCAGCATTTCTTTTGTTTGACAATTTTTATTGTGCTGATTTCATAATTTCTTAACCAACTGGCAGTCAATTTTCACGACATCGTTATTAACCCTTTTTGCACGTAGTTCTGTAATTCCTTCACCGTTGTCCTTCAACAGGACCGGCATCACTACCATGTTTTATTTCAATAGTTTCATTCGCACTTAAGCTTGTATATCCGTGTCTGTTCTTTTGCAATCTTTCGTATTTTGTACGTGTTATCTCTATAAGTAATCGCCCATCTTCACACGGTCCTGTCATTTTACGACGGATGGAAGGAGAGAAGAAGGTTCCACAAATTCCGCTCCATACGTGAGCTTCTTAGAACTAGCGCCTAGGTTTGAATCTTTAATATTATTATCATCATACCCTACCTACTTTCTTGTAACGTGCATGAGGTGGTGGAATTGCAGAAAAAATTGCGTTTCTTCCACCCACATCGTCAATGGCCGCTCGCATGTTTTTTACGAGCCAAAAGAGCGAATAAATTTCGCCTATCAAAAATGCTTTAATAATCACAGTGCCCCTCGCGTTTCCATGGCTTACCGGGGTCCTGTTATTGCAATCTTTTATGTATACCTTGGTGTGATTTATAAACAGACTTTTATAAGTAACTTTTTGAAATAAACGTTTTCGTGCAGAATTTGTTAGTTGTCTGTTTAAATTTTTTTCAAACAAGAGGAAAACTGGATCTTCTATACAAAGGCCCCACCAGAAAAACATCCTCGCCAACGCTCTAATTAAGGAAGTAATTGTAATCAGTGTTAGGCTTAAGGATTTTAATGCAAATTCCCCTGAGAATTCAAATTTTTAAATCATTCCCTGCTCTAACTGGATAATTTGTTATTATAAAACATGGCGGGCGTATTTTCCTCAAATCTCATATTTTTGCATCAGTGGCAAGGGTTTGTACAAAAGATTCGGGAAACTTACATATAGTTATGGCAATTCCATGCATTTGCCGAGCTCAAGGTGTCCCGATTTGATCGACGAAAATCTGCGTGGCGCCATTTCCTGTTAAGAATAGTATATTACGGGGGAAACAACTAGAACTCAGCAAATGAGATAGATGCAAATGCGCGCTTGTATACCTTGGATAACTTAATATTTCGTTAATTTTTTATGATATGACATAAATTACGGGGACTTTGTGCAAAAGATCCGAAAAACTCATATATTGAAATAAATGCGGTATCTTGATTAGAGCGATTCTATGAATGAAGGTAAGGTTTGATAAAGACAATTAGGCCAATTCAAAATTTTAGTTTTGCAAAATTCAGAAGTCTGAAATAATATATTTCCAGCCATAACTTACAGCAGAAATAGACAGATTTCGACACGGTCGTAAAAGTTCTACCACCTGCTATAATCCTAATTAATTTCAACTTTCTGTCGATTTTGCTTCCAAAAACCCCGCCCACAAACTATCAGCAGACGTTTTATTGGATAATTATTGCACACGTATATTTTGATAATAAATTGCACAGATTATGAGAAGATAATATCAGACAAAAATATTATTGGGTGCCGGTATGGTATTCGACATACATCAGTGTTTCTCAGTGTGGTCTCAATGAGGATCTTCGAAATTGGCCTGGAGTTTTCATTGGTATACAGTAGGTCCGAAAAAAACGTCATCAATTACAAATTGAAAAGAGAAGAGATTTACGATCGAGGATGAACCAAGGTTGGGAAGTTCAACTTGACAAACTGATAAATAGACATAAAGAATTAGTTTCATCGACATATTCATTGATAATTTTATGATACTCGAAATATCTATGGGTCTAAGGTTTCTTTTTTCAATAAAAATCAGCCACAAGACAATGAAGTTTGAAAACCATTGGTCTACATGCACATGTCAGATGGTGCTTTTAATCTAGCTGTCATATAAACGCTAATCATCATCAAACTACGATTCCACGAAATAGATTTTTATTATTTTTACTCGACCTCGGTTTAGCTTAAACATGAACCGAACGAAACATATCGAGGGCTTAATAAAAGTCGTGAATCTTTCAAAAGCGGTCTTTAGAAAATATGTGGAAAACGTATATTTCTGATTTGGACTCATGTAATTTATATCGATATACTTAAATATTGCTCGAAAATATAATTGATTAGATACCAGCTCAAATTATTTCTTTGTAATATTTTCAAAATAACTTTTCTCGGAATTTCAACATTCGCCCTTTAGACTTGAAGCCCCTTACTTAGTCCAGTTGGTTCAAACTTTTTTTCAAGCAACCCAAATTTCCGGAAAAATCAATTTTCTAAAATTTCGTAACGCAAGGATGTGCTCAAATACCAAATGGCATGTAGTACTTTTATGACCGCAAAATTGAATTAGTAATATAAAACAAAGTGCGAGAGCTGTGCTAGTTTGCTCTCAGCGAGATTTTGAAATCGTGGCGTGGTTTTACTTAGGCAAAAATTACGAGCTCAAAGTTTTCACGCTGCAAAACTTCCCACGTATCCAATTATTATTGAGCAACACTTCATACCGAATATAAAACGAGAATATCGGTCAGAGACCGAAGACCGAAAGCTAGGGGATCCCCGAAAACAGCGCTCTTACTCCGTAGTGACACCTTGTGTCCCATCACTAATTAATTAATAACTCGCTAATTATACGACATAATTCGCCCAAACTCAATAGGCTTCAGGTCCGAGATGAGATGAATGCACATGCACAATCTGGAGCGGATTCAATCTCGCTTTCGTGAGATATCGCGTGCATCTAACAGACATACATACATACAGACAGACAGGCAAATACCTATCAACATACTTACCGATTAAAATCGATAAGTAATAAACAATAAAATTCACTAGAAATCAAAAGGAGTAACTTTTAGGTTTGTTTATAAAAAACAAGGGACTCAGAAAAGTTTCAGGCGACCAAGTTTTAGGTCATGACCTACAGATTGTGAAACACCGGCTTAGTCTAGGTGTAAGTTTCTGTAGAACACATACCACACCGGTGTCTGTTATTGGACTAAACATGGTTGTCGGGTTTAGTTAGTTAGAATAAGAGCCATGGAGTCGGAGTTGGGCATTTTTATATTGGAGTGGGGATCATATTTCCAAGTTATCAAGAGTCGGAAATAGCAAAAATTTGTTTTTCCAGATTTGGGAGTTGGAGTCGACAATTTTGTCAACCCGGAATAGGATCGGAGTTGCTTCCTTCAAGTCTCTGAGTTTACGATGACATTTTAGTCCGGCCCACAGAAAATTTCCATGAAAATTATCGTGCAGTTGCATAAAATCGTCATAAAAATGATTTAGCTCAGAATTGTTTTTTCCGGTTACTGGAGTCAAAAATTTTGTCAAACCGGAGTGGTATCGGATTTGATATTTTAAAGGGTTAGTCTGTGTATGGAATGAAATTTTGCTCCGACCCCTGGAAAATTTCCACATTCACGATGAAATTATGGTGCAGTTACATAAAATTGTCAATAAAATAATTTAGCTTCAAAATAAATCAGTTGAAAATATTCAAAACAAATTGGAAAATAATGATGCGAGATGAACTACTTCACCGCTGTTTTTCTGGTCTTATCAAATTCTACTGTTTTTGGTCTTATTTCAACCGTTATATTTTTTAGTTTCAGTGCCCGCCATGTTTTGCTCAGTGATCAATCTCCTTTATTTCTGCGGTAGTGCGAGAGAATAATACTTTGTGTGGGCATCCTGATATTCGAGACCAGTATACATTTCGTTAATATTAAGTATAAAACCTCTACATCTCACCCAGGTTGTAACAAATATGCTCAAACAAAAAGATCACAATCCTTCAAAAATCCCAAAAGTCCCGGCCCTGTAACTAGCTTCTTTATCAAAGCCCAATCAAAGATATTGTGAAGGGGATATCGGACGCGGTGGGGTAACTTTAATATTTTTCCAAATTTATTTGCCTTCTCTTGTTAAACGAAGTATTACAGAAAAATAGGGTCTCATTAAGCCATGTAATAATCATTATAAAGACAAATACTAAATTATTTCAGGTTTTGAGTGACTTCATAGACCCAAATTGTGTTCGTTCCAAGTAATATAAATGGATGCCAGCAAGAGGCGTGGTCTAATTAGGTAATAATGGTTTGGGTGTTTGACCATTGCAACTGACTAGTTACCCGAAGCCCTAAACCAAATGAAACTCAGCTAATTAAAGCGGTTTCACCATAAACGGGTTAGGAGAAAATCTAATTTAATCGCAACGGTGAAAGCATTCAGAACTTCAAAAACTCTGCGGTTCCCACGAAAGTATATATGTATAACGCATATGTAAGTAATTATACAGTAAAAACTAATACGATCATGAAGAAATAATGACTGTAGTATGATATAACCTTGAGAAATATAAGTTCAAGGTCATGAGGTAATTTCACAATGGTGACAAAATTAGTACGGGATTGTGACATCACAACTATTTTTGTGATGTCATAATTACTAGGTACGAGTAAACAATAAAAAACAAACATATGATAAATGTAAAAGAGGTTTCACAGTGGAACAGCAAAAGACAGTAAGGGTAATAAGTGACGCCATACCACTATTGTAAAACGAAAGGTAAATTTACATAAGACTGACTCGGGCTGCAAGAAACAGATGGAAGACAAAATTTGTCAGCCATGTTTGATGACGTATTAGTTACGCCATCACTACTTTCATGACGCATTATGTCAGAAAAATTAATTGTTGAAAAATTTTCTGTTTTCACCGTTCTCTTTAGAAAGTCTGGTATAGATCCATTCTGCAATATACTCTCATAAGGTGGGGGTTGGGCACTGGGATTGTAAATCAAAGAGTCTGGAAACAATGACGTCATATGTGACGTCATCTGATTATCTGGTTTAGGAAAATAAGCCGAGTCAATGCGGGGAAGTTTCGCTCTATATTTCTGATCTGTGGATGACTCCAGTTTAACCATCAGATCCTGCTGGTCGCGGAATTTACGTTTCTGCCCAACGCTATTTGGTTTTGGCGCGTAAAAATCATTTTGGCTTGGATTATTTCTTTGGTTTGTTACTTCACAAGGCACGGTTTGGTACTGTTGTATTGTTGGTTGTGAATTAAAACAATGCGATTCCAGGCAATGGACTTTGTGACGTCATATTGCAAGAATTTTTAGTCATTTTAACGTCACAATGTGTATTTTGAAAAGTAGTCGCAAGATTTGCATATTTATTTTGAGTTTGATTGACCTGATCCCTCGAGAGACGTTGGTATCGAAGTAATTCCGCTCTCGGATCTTTAGATGTCATCGTGGAGGCAGTGTTTCCTGGTGCAGGAGAGGCAGGTATTAAATGCGGGTGATAACCGGGGATTCCCCCGGGGAATAAGCCAAACGGATCGTATTTTCGACTAAGGTGAGCGGTTTCTTCATAAAGTCTTCGGAGTTTTTCAGTCGCTTGGTTACAATCAGACCACGCCATAGCTGCAATGGCTGATAGATGCTGATAATATTGATGTCCAAGGGGAAGTCCCATATCTTGTGTCATCAATGACGTCATATCAGTGGTATGCTGCCTGCTTGTAAATCCATTAACACAGTCAAGCCTGGAATTAATGTACGGGGGAGGCAATACAGGCTCCGTTGATTGTCCCGGAAAACTCCTATTGTTCGTCATAAACGATTTTGCATAATCAAGCATTGGGTTCGTGACGTCATTATTTGGGTAAAATAATTGTGACGTCATTGCATCGAATGCCTTTCCTTTCATTACGTTTGGTTTAATTCCTGGTTTGTTGTTATTAAGTTCTTGGTTCTTTCTCGATGACGTAGTTGGTTGATGACAAGTGGTAGTGACGTCATAAAGACGATTTGCGTAGACGTCGATTGGAGGCAAAGTGTTTGAAGTTGTTTGGGAATTCGGTCGAATCATCAAAAGATTCGGTGAGTTCGGTTTTCCACGTGCTGACTGAGATATCTGCTGAGTTCGACGAGATCTGACATGGGGAACTGAAAAAGAAAGAAAATATGGTGAATTGATAGACCTAATTTTTTGTCCATTTTTTGGATACAAAATGAACATTTGGGTAGTTTGGCTGAATTATTATCGTGTGTGTTTTTGTTTCTGTTGTTATTCTGCTTCATCCTCAGTCGATTTCAAATTTTCGGAAAGCAATCGTGTCTCACGCACAGACTTTTTAGAGACAAGTCCAGAAGAACAAAGTTTGGTGCACCCGGAGTATTCGTATCAAGATGGGGCACAACCTGCACATGGTATGTGTACCAGGTTAGGGTTATTCAGGTTGTGCGTCATCTTAGCACGAATACTTCCCGAGAGCCCAAAATTCATTATAAATTATATTATCTGTGAAACAATCTAAGCGCCGCAAGATTTCTTCCCGTTAGAAGAGCGTTTGCAGATAAGGCGAAATGGGGCTTCGAGTTGAGATGAATTTATTACATCCCGGGCCAGACATTTGAAATCTACAACAAAAACCTAGCTCAACGCATGGGCGTTAACGTTCTAAGAATTAACAGCAATGAAACTGGAATTATTCTAAGTTTTCTTTCTTAAAATAATACCACATTAACCTCCCATTAGAAATAAATTATAGGTGTACTCATATCATTCCTGCGAAATTATTACGAAGGGAGAATCGCAAGGATCATTTGACAATGAAATGCGACTTTTATCACGGGTGTGCACCATATTTGTCTGTGGACCATACAACCAACAATATCTCGTTGGGCCAAACAAACAAAATTTATTTTTATATGTAAACATGATCTTCAAAAGGACGAAAATAAACCAAATTATATGTTTTCAATCGCTCTTTATTCATAAGAAAAATATAATTTCTTATCTGCTTTTCTATTTTCGGACAATTACCCGAATATAAAGGGTGCGGTTTTGGTTTCAGATGAAGAACACATCAGCGTCGGAACGATAATGACAGTTGTATATTCTACGTTCTCTTTTAAGACTCTGTGCAGTATTTTAGGGTAACGCGCTTGACATGGCTTTACTTTGATAAAATTGAAGCGGTTGTCTCGAGAAAAAGATGCGTGTTGGCACGCAAGGGCCACACTAAATGGCTTGGTGGACCGGTTGTGGCCCGCGGGGCCCTATTGCACACATCTACTTTGAATATGAAAATAAATGAATACAAAAACAATTTTCCATGACTCGCCATGTGTTTTAGGTCACATCATAGGCTTTCCTCTCATAAATATGGAAATCTTATCCCAGCGTTGAAAAAATAAATAAAAAGGAAATATAAAACAACAATAGTCACTGACCTTTGACTCTTCCTCTTGGAATGTACACTCCCATTGGTGGATAGTTGGCCGCATAACTTGTAAGTTCCTCTGATGTCACAATTAGATCTTTCTCCCACATGAGAGACTCTCTTGGATCATCCAATGACGTCATGATTAGTTTTATAATTAGTTAAATAAATAATTAAAAGTATGCTGTTGAAAAAATAGGCACGTTAACTGTGGTATTCTTGTATTCAATGTAAAAGAAAGCTATGCGAAAGCTTACGTATTGCAGTTGAGATTATCTAAGTTAAGTAGACTCAAAGAAGAGGGAGGTATCTTTCTATAAAGCATTTTTTCACTCTTTTACTTTTAACAAGCCTCTGCACAACATCCACTGACTACGTTAGGTTAGAACCAGGGGCGCCCTGTCTCACTAGTCCTTGACATTTCAGTGTTGCACATAATTTATCTTAATAAAAAGTTCCATTATTTCTGAGTGAACGTAATGCATAGGTATAAATTTATATATTACAGTATCTCTCGGCATTTCTGAGATCACTCGTATCTTCACTCAAAGATAAGTCCACTTTACTTCTGAGTGAGCACACGACATGTAACACTACAAATCCATATAACTTCAGCCTGTAGCATTACTCGTAGATCAGCGGCTCCAAGACTTTTTGTTCGCGCTGGATTATCAGGGAAAAAATTCACGGCGCCCTTGCGTGAAAAAACTGCTGCTTTTAAATAAAACTCAGTTTTGTGATCGTTAATGCATACTTTACGCCTTCAAAGTTTGTAAACATGTAGTCCTGAGAAATAAAAGCAAAAAGGCAATCCTTATTGCTCATTTCTGCCCGATTTTCCTTCGAAATGCTAAAAAAATATTCACTCATGTCGCTAAACTCTGTTAAGCAGCCGCTGTTACAGATGATTCTCCTCACTTCTAAATGAGTGCGCGAGGCCTTGCTTCGAACAAAATCATGATGAAAAAAGCAATCCACAGTCCCCCTTCGTGTCCAATAAATCTATACAAAGCTTTCAACTCCAAAATGTCACAGGCTCACAGCACATAAGTCTACTAGCTCATAGCAATCCTGCATTAGGCAATCGAACATAGTGAGGCGATAAACGAGCAATAAGTCGAGCCGTCGCTATTGATTTATTGGTCTCCTGTCCTTTCATACGAATGACAATAATTATAGATATTGCGATTTATCGAGCGCTAAAACATCAGACATCGGTACCGGGTTTGAGGACTTTGAAAAAGGATCCTATCCGGAGTCGTACAAAATCCGGCCCGGTGAAATTTTGACTCCAACTCCGGTTCAAATCACATGTCCTTTACCTTGTGAAGACAAATCGAAAAAATCCCGGTTATTTCAAAGATAGTATGACTAACTTTACACATATTTTTTTGCCAATTAGTTTTTGTTCTTTCATCAAACAATCATACGTTACGTTCATTTCAAGCGAAGAAATTAAATGTCCCTTAACAAGTTTATTATGTGGGTAAATTTAAAATTCCCAACGAAATTGTTGGGCCTTGAAAACTTTTCCATTTGCTATTTGGGCCTCACTCAAAAAATCTTTGCCGACCACTGCTGTACAAGGATTCGTTCGGAAGAAAGTGATTGTTGAACTATGCTTGTCTAAAGAAGTCTGATCTTGGTCAGACGAAACGTTACAGAAATATATTTGTGTTAGTGTGCAGCAGGACTCTTGATTCACTCAGAATAGTTATCTCTACTCTTGCTACAGCATCCTTGCATGAAATGGGTCGGAATCCTCTTCCCTATTTTTATTCAGAAAAATCTGTAGAATGCATAGCGTTCGTTCGTTGCAATTTTCGTAGATGTCTAGACTCTTAACCTACGTTTTTCAACTAGCTGTTGCGGTCTAACTTGGCAAATAGAAAAATCTCTGGCTACGCCTATGGTGGTCCCTGCCTAACTTATTGCACATTGACAAGGTAGCAGAACCCAAGTTTTGAAACCTTGTTCAAAAAGCCGCGATGCCAGAATTGTAAGTCCAAAATAATCTTTACAGTCCAATACGTCCATTCTAATACAGGGAAAGAGTTATTATAAGCGTATTAAACTCTCGGCCCAATTTCAAGTCATTAAATATTTTAATAAAACGTAACAATCGTAATGGATTGGAATTAACTCGACTCGCCGTTCTAATCTGAATGCGATCACAAGAGAGTAATCAACTGAAAGAAATTACATTTTAACGATTGGGAGAGACTGTAGTGCGATAAAGGAACATTGGGTCAAAAGCCTAGTTCGTCATTAGCTATAAATAGTTTTATCGTCAATAGCAGAATATTTACTACCCCCTAAATTTAGAAATACACCCCCCCAAAAGGCTAAAATGAAAATCATACTTAGTATAAACATACTGCGGTGCCACCTCACCCAGGACGTTTGTGCTTCAATAATAAAATGGATGCTTATACCAAGCTGGAAATCTTCGCTGTTGCTACGGATACATCATAGAAAAAGGATAAGTGCCAACTGCTAAGTGGTATATAACGCTGGATGACATTTACATAAGATAAACCGTCTTAGCGACTTTCCTCTCCCGAAAGTAAATCCATATCTGAAACCGTATTTTAAATTTTCGGTTTCCACCTATAGTATGTGTACCAGGTTAGGGTTAAGCCATAATTTTATTCCGTTTTTCCTTTTTTTAGTTCTATTAAGATTTCGGGGACTGTCTGTGTTAGACAAGTGAATACCCCCCCCCCCCCCCCGCCCCATGCGAACAAAATTAGTTACCCCCGTATAGGTACACATACCTCTGGCGCGCCGAATTTTAATGCGAACGTCGGTTGCAAGTGCGTCAGCAACGCGATTAAATTTCACGTTTAAAATCGATTGTCGTCTTTCACGCTATGCTTCCGTAATAACTCAATAGAAGCTATGCAGATGTTGATCGGCCATAATGAAGGTAAAAGGGTGATGGAAATAAATTAGGTCCCAAGACTTATAATACATTGTAAGTTCACGTCCTCGCGCCATTATGTGCGTTCCAAAATCTTGGTGGCAGTCATTCGCTTTTAAGTTTTTTCTAATGATTTTCATAAAAGAATTATAAATAACAATATATGCCATAACTGACTTGACTACTTTAAGTGTAACTGTATGTATCTACAAACACAGGTCGTAATAAACGAACGATACAAGAATATATAAATACTCTTTAACTACACTTCCTTTACTCGAGCTGTAAATACGCTACACGGTCTGACTAACCTGACAAATGATAAAGACTACACAGTCAGTGTTAGAGCCCGTGAAAAGATTGACTACTATTTACAAAGACGAATTTACGAAAATTATCTATTGGAACTATAAATCCTGTCATATTCGAATTACCGACGTTTTGTCACATTTCGATGCCACCGTTGTCAAATTTCATTAATGCCATTATTGCTTTTTTGGACAATTACAAAATCAGCCAAGTCAGTACTTTGACAAGCAAATGAATAGCTAGCGGGGCCCCTAGGTTTCTCTTATGAAGCCCTGAGGCCCGGTAAGACGAACCTCGAGAACATATGCTGTACTCTAACCACACATAAGGCGGCTTGCTCTCTCTCTGACTAGCCTGACAAACAATAACGTCTAAACACATTGTGAGGAAATATCTAGTCAACACGACACCCATCCGGGAAACGATTTCTGTGTCGTATAGACTTGTATCCCCCGTATCGCATCCTTCCCTGCCGCGTAACCAAACACGCGCGATACGGTGGTTTAAAATATCTCAATCTGTGTTTTATCTAATTTTATCGCCTCGTGTCTTCTCGCATATGCGTCAGCGGGTTCTAATTAAAGAATTCCATGGAAGAAATTTCGAAATTAAAAGCTGTGTGGAATTGTTTTTTTATTTTGTCAAAATTGGCAATATTTCTAATCCCAATAAATGCCAGACTAATGAAAAATTTAATTGGAATTTCCACAAAAATAAAATGTCGGTGGCCTAGTTATTAAAGTATTGTGCTTTAACTATGCTGCCATGGCAAGTAAAAGGTCCCGGATTCAATTCCCATTTTTATGACGTACTAAAAAGATAAAAAATGACGAACTGGAAATATAGCGGTCTTTCAGAAATTGTTGGTCATTATTATCAATGGCTTATGCAGGTCCTTTTCGGGTCGAATTTTTTTTATTGATGAAACCAATACAAGCCTACAAGTCGCGTGTGTTTTGTACGAAGCCGACGACAACGATCTAAATAAGCAAGTTATTAATTATTCAGTTAGGATTTAAAGTTAGAAATGCAGATTGCCCCGGAAATTCAAATTTTCAAATAATCCCCAACTCATTTAAGAACTTGGCGGGAGTATTATTCAAAAATCTCACATTTTTCCATTAGTGGCAGAGGCTTAGTACAAAAGATCCCAAGTCTACGCTACACTTTAAAACTCTATCATTTTAATCGTTTATGCGAGTTTTAAACCTAGTTTTATCTGAAAGAAAACTCATAAGGCCTCTTTTGACTATAATTTGATCCTCGTCAAGTACTGCCATTATCTTTGCCTTCGATTTAGTATAGTAATTAAGTCTGACTCGAAAAAACGTGGTTATAAAATACGAAGTGTTTTCTAAAAACAAATATAAACCTCGTAAATCCTCGCTACAATCGGTTTGAATCTTGGGATATAAAGTCTATTATTATCTCATTCTGTTTTATGACATCTTGTTTGAGATACCGTTCATCCTCGCATATAAACTGACCATACAAATCGTAACACGACGTACGCACAGCAAATGGTTGCATTATTTTAATTGTTATGTTTTACTTTTATTAATAACGGTAAGAAGTGTCTCAAAATCACTATGCCTGTCAAACACTTCAGTGTGACCGGAGTTATGCGCATATAAGTCGACCCCTTAATTGAGCAACTATTTAAGAGATTCAAAATCGGCAGTATACGGTATTGAATTCACTCTGAATTGTAGGAGCAATGGTACTGTAGTTATAGCGCGTTCTTTAAAAATCATATGTAAGCCGCTTAAAGACATTATTGGTCAACAGATTAACAAATTTATTAATATCCATTCTCGATTTTCTAGACTTTTACATCTGGAGTTGTATTTTAATAACAAAACATTAAGAAACGTAATAAAATAACTTAACGAGACAGACAAGAGAAAATGAATAGACACATAAGACCGCTATCCTTAATGGTTAAGTTGAAAACAGTTGGACAGGC